TAAACGAGCCAACATGCAGCTGGCACGAGGGTTCAGAACAACAATGGTTTCGGAGGTGCGCCCTTGTGTCCTTCGCCCCCTGCCCCCCCTCGGAGATTTCTCGTCTTTGGCATCTCGATGGGCCCGCAAGGGCTCGCGTTCTCGATCCACTTTCTTGTGGCCATGTCTCGACCGCACACACGCGACGGCTGGTTGAAATTGCGCGCACGTGGTTTACTAACGTACACCCATTACGAACGCACGCACGCACGCGCAAACACGCATCACACTTGCTAGGTACCGATATCTGTAGACTGGGTTGCTCAAACGCAATGCGTGGTCACACATCCCTTGCGCGTGGCTGCTGAACACGCCCAGCGCCGCATGGCCTCTCGCCCTGTCAAGAGAGGCAGGCGACGACGACTTAGTTTTCTCGACTTCGAGTCGCGCATCCCCGATCATGAGATCGACGAGTTTCGTGAACACGTTCAGGGCATGAGAGTGGCGGGAACAAAGTTACTGTCTCACCTTCAAACACTTTACGCATTTGGAAAGATAAGTGCGCAAGATTTTTCGGTAGCGTGCCACTGGGCCGACGAGGCAAACTGCTTGGGCGGGGATTTTTTCAGGTTCTCTCAGCCGCCAGGGCTCCAGAGTGGTCGATACCAACAGTTTTTGGATTCTACGTTCATGGGTTCAAACTTGCACACGAACATAACGGTTCCAATCGCTCAGCCAAAACGCTCGCTCGAAGATACGATGGAGCTTCAGGTCAGCTTAGCATTCGAAAGTGTAGCGGAGGAGCTGAGGGGGCATCCAGAACTGTTTCAAGAGTGTCGTGAAACTGAGTGGCCACCATGCTTCACGCAGCACCCTGTGTATACGCGCTGCAGCGCTCAACAGCGGGAACGCCTGATCCCATTAGCCATCTATACAGATGGGGTTCGGTACCAGAGCCCCACAAGCTCGAACTGCGACAGTATGACTGGTGTGTGGTTGATCAACGTGGTGTCTAAGAAACGGCATTTAGTTTCAACTTGGCGAGCTGGTCGCAGTTGTCGCTGCGGGTGCAAGGGTTGGCATTCTAATTGGGTTATCTTGAATTATGTGAAGTTTTGTTTGTCTGCAATGGCGAGCGGTCGCAGACCCGATGTAGACATGAATGGTGTTGCATGGGGTGGCGGGCATATCATGAGGAAAATGCTGGACCAGTTTGGTCCGAACCTCGGCTTTTTCGGGGCTGTCTGCTGGCTTAAAGGTGACCTGGCTGACGTGCACAAAACGCACGGGCTTCCATCGGTTTCGTCGAACAACAACCCATGCATGTTTTGCAAATGTACGTCAGAAGATATGCACTTGTATTATTCTGACATGTTGGATGAAGAATGGCCCTGGGAGCTAATACAAGACGGCGAATATGAAACACATTGCAATGCATGCGAACGCAAGGTGTACGTAGCAAATGCTCAGGACTTAAAAACCATATCAGAACACATACGTTTTCTGAAGGGTAGTGGTCAACACGGGCCCACGCTTGTGAAAGATTTAGTGGTGGGAGGCACGGCACTCATCAAGGGTGACGTGCTATCGCCGTCAGACGAGCTTCAGAACCCGCAAGATTTCCACGATGCCACACTACCAGCAACATTTACATTTTGGCGTTACCAAAGAGATGGCAATGGTATCAGGACGGGCTTAGCTGTGCATCGGAATCCGATTTTTTGTGACGAAACAGGTCTTCAGCCGCATAGGGCGTGCGCAGTCGACCTGATGCACACACTTTGCTCTGGTTTGATCATGCGGGTAGCGAGCTGCATTTTGTGGCGCATCATTCTGGCAAACCCTTGGCGTGCGACAGGTAATAAAACAACGAGGCTCGAGGCATGTGTGAAGCAGCTTCGGAGTGTCATGTTCGACTGGCAGGATGCGTCTAAGTTGCCGTGGGAAGACAGGCTGGGGGATCTCACTCTGAGCACTCTGGGGGGCGAACCATCCTGGAAAGCACACGATGACGAGGGTATTTTCGTTGGCCAAGTGATGAGGCTCAAGGCTCACGAGACGTTGGTCATGTTGCGGTTTGCAGTCCACGTTGCTGAAAAATACCAGCAGTTTCAGTTTCGTAAGCACGTGACTGCGGCAGCCCAATCACTCCTATCCTTCTATGACAAATTGAAAGAGGCCCCGATGGTAGTGCCCCCAGCTACGCTGCAAGGGCTCTACGAGCTTATGACAAAGGCCTTAGTGCGGTGTGGGTGGGCTCGGGTACGAGATGTTCCAAAGGTTCATTTTGCTGCGCATCTGGTCCAGAGGTGGCATCGGGGCCCAGGGAAACTAACAAAGGAAACCCTCGACCCCTCCCCCATCTGACAATTGGGGAGAGGGGGGGCTCAACGGCTCAACGGGGGCTCAACAGGGCACGCATGGACCCATCGGGCGCTCGCTCCTCCTCGGGAAGGCGGAGAACAACAGCTCAACTGATCAACGCCGTGGCCGTTGAGCACCAGTTGAGCCGTTGAGCCCGCATGCCTGGCAAGCTGGACTTCCGTGCCACCCCTGAACCAGATCCGCCAGGATCGAGTACCAAGGCAATCCAACACTATATGCAGTTTGGGTGGACGAAAGTATTAACCTCATGTTCCGCACGGTCGCGGAGCACGCCCACCCGGTCAAATTTGAATACAGAGTATTCAAGCACACGAATATCATCGCTCGTCTCGGCTTAGATCACAGGTTGTTTTCGCCATCCATGTACTGAGATGGGATTCGCAGTGGGCTGCCCCTTCTGGATCCAGAACGCTGGCGAGAACATCTGCAGGCGGCTCGGTCGACCTCCGTCAGACGCTGACCGCCCTGGCGCGCTTCCAGCACATATTCTGGTAGCTGAAGTGTCCGCTGAGGTGGCGGGGGGAAAGAAACGTGTAGTGAATATGGCGATGGCGGCAGCGCAACGTTGACGGGGAATTGTGGGTTCGGGGGGAAGGAAGGGGAGGCGGTAGGCAAGATAGGGAGGGAATGGGGTGAGGGAGGGTGGGATATGTTGGGGGTTGGGAATGGTGGGGGGAAGGGTTCCCCCTCCCCCTACCCTCCTGCTCCTCCTCATGCTGGTGCTCCATCCTCGGCGCCTCGGCACCTCTCGTCGTTGTCGAGGTTTCCCTCCCCCTCCTCCTCCTCCCCTTCCTGCCCCCCCCCCGCCCGCTCTCGCCTGCCGCCTTGCCAGGCGGTCAAGTGGAAGATCCCCAGGGACCATTCCCTCTTCCTCCTCTTTAGCGGCAAGGGCGAGGCTGCCGCGCATGCGCGGCGTGCTGGGATGGAGGCGCTTACGTATGATAAGATCGATCACCCAGACCAGAATATAGTGACGCTCAACGGGGCGCTGCAAGCAGCGTGGATGGCGATGCAAGTCAGAGAGGGGGGGCTCTTGTGGGCATCTCCTGAGTGTAAGACGTGGCTTTCCTTTCTGAGCAGGGCGACATACGAACGAGTCACTCGCGGATTTAACATTTTAGGCAACTGCCAACGTGCAGTTGCAGAGGCCGCCAACACCACAGCCGTGGTCCTCTCATGGCTTGTAAACTTGTGCATTGTACGCTCAGTGTTCATAGCTGCTGAACAGCCACTTAATAGCATGCTGTATCACGTGCCATGTCTTTCGCGTTCTCTCATCATGGCCGACGCGCGTCGGTTTGTTACGCACCTCTGGAAGTTTGGCGGGTCGAGCTCCAAACCCCTCGAGTTGTATTTGAATATCCCAGCCTCGATAGCAAATGCGAAGCTGAACAATCGTTCACTTCGCCTGCGCAAGAAGACTATGTTTAAGAGCTTAGCGCCCACGGAGGGGATTTGGGTCAACGGTAAGAAGCCAGCTCTGAAAGATTCCGCAGCGTATCCTAATAAATTTGCTCTTGCGATCGCCGAGACAGCACAGCTCTGCGTTGCGTCGGTGTCAGCGGCTAGCGCGTCTGGGGGACTGGCGGGCTGATCGGAGTCATCCTGGAAATGCCAAATGAAGCGAGATGCATTCTGCCTCGGGGCGTGCGGCGCTTCCTGCGCTCAACGGCTCAACGGGGGCTCAACGGGGTGGGCGTTGATCCACTGAGCGTCGCTCCGCCACTCGCTCATATCGCGGAGAAAGCGGCTCGATGGATCTACGCCTGCCCCGTGGAGCCACCGTTGAGGCGTTGGGCACTCGAGGGTTTGCCTTTGAGCGGGCGTGGGCTCCTCAGCGCCCGCCTGGGAGTTCAGCGGTTTGAGTGCCCAAGAGGGCCCGCGTGGGGCCCCGCGCAATTGCGACGGCTCAACGGCTTCAGGGGAGCCCAACGAGATAAGAGTTGTTTCGTTTGACATCTCGCCTCGACGCGGGCTCACGAAGCCCTATGCAGGGGAGCGGCTGGGACGGGCGAAGCCCTCGCTATCTAATGGCCTTCGGCCGATCCCGCCACCGTGCCTGGGTTGTACGTCACACGATGTTTAAATCGCAGTTGGGATCTCTTGGTGCGCCTCTTGGGGGCATCTGGGAAGCAGCCTTGAAACCTCTTGGGTGCCGTTTCGGGGCCTCTTGGAGTCCTTTGGAGCCCTCGCTGCATTAAAAACTCTTCCTGATGTTTCTCCAGCGGGTTGTTTCTTTTGGCCCGCGAGGGGGGGTAGGGGGGGAGGACTGACATGCGCGTGATTGCCAACACCAATCAATGATTCAGCACGCTGGTAAATATGAAATCCAACTGCTCGGAGTTATGCTGGATGCTTGAGCGGCCCAGCATGCAGACATCGCAGCTGCTCTCAGACTAACTGCTCGTAAACCGTGCTGCCATATTTAAATCCAACTGGCATCAGACGGGCAACTAAACGCTGCACGAGTCTCGCACGGGCTGGCGTGCATCGGGAAATCCAGCTGGCGTGCAATCCAGCTGAATCCAGCTGGCGTGCATCGGTGAATCCAGCTGGCGGGAAATCCAGCTGGCGTCCATCGAGTCTCGCTGAACGCGCCGTGCAATCCAGCTGGCGTGCATCGGGAAACGCGGCTGCTACATGCGCTGCGTGCACGTCTCGTACATGTCCTGCTCGACGAACGTGTCGCCGTAGCCGCCCACTGGAGGCGAGTCCTCAGGTGGTGGTTGCGTATCAGGCTGAGTGGGCCCCCAAGGCTGCTTCGAACTCGAACTCGAACTCCAACCTGGCCCTTGAAACACAGGAAGCGGAGCTGGAATCGTCGGGCGCTCCGTCGGGCGCTCTGGCGACTGCGGATCGCTATCCACGGCAATGACGTCGATCTCCTCGGCCATCTCGCGCACAAATGCCTGCGCCCAGTCCATGTCGCCGCCGCCGCCCAGGCCCATCATGAGGTCCAACGTGTCGCTGACCTTCTGCAGGTCGGCCGCGCCGCTGCCCGCGACCATCGGCGTGGCCTTCTGGCGCCTCAGCGTGGGGGGATCGCCCTGCTGCTCGTCCGCCAGCGCGGGAGGAGCGCCCTTCTTGGCCGTCAGGTCGGCCGCGCCGCTGCCCGCGCCCTTCGTCGGGGTGCGCTGCAGCTCCAGGGCGTCCATCTCCTGGCTGCCGCCGACGAGTGCTTGGTATGACTTCCTTCGCCATGTAGTAGTCTGGCGGAGGAGGCCCTACCAAACCCTCGTCTATGAGACCTGGGTAGCGCGCGTCCAACGTCCACATGGGGAGGGGGGCAGCGGTTTTACCCACGGCTCCTTCGTGGGCTGCTTCGTCGGCTCTTTCGTCTGCTCCTCCTTCGTCGGCTCCTTCGTCGGCTCCTTCGTCGGCTCCTTCGTCGGCTCCTTCGTCGGCTCCTTCGCGCTGCCTTTCGTCAGCTCCTTCGTCTGCTCCTTCTTCATCGGCTCCTTCGTCGGCTCCTTCGTCGGCTGCCCCTCCTTCGTCAGCTCCTTCGTCTGCTCCTTCTTCATCGGCTCCTTCGTCGGCTCATTCGCCTGCCCCTCATTCGTCAGCTCCTTCGTCGGCGACGCAGTGGCCACGGGGTGGAGCGTCAGCGTTGCGCTGCCTGGCACGACGACAGCGCTGTACTCATGGCCCGTTTTCGATTTCTTCACGACTCTGTCCGACTCTGGATGGTTATACTCGCGAAGCTCGACTGTGATCGGGATGTTGAATGTAAGGTCGAGCTCTTGAGCTGACCCAGGTGGAGGGCGCGTCACCCTGATGCGGAGCGACGGCTCCTGGTGGCGACTGTCCGCCATCTGAACGAATTGAGCCCGAACGGCTACGCTTATATACAATGGATGAGCGAGGAGGGAACGATTGGTTTACCATCGGGCCCTTGCGTAGGGTTCCCTCGGCGCTCTGTGAAACAATACCCCAGTCTTCGCAATAAAAGGAAGGCGGTCTGGACCCTCCAAGACAAGCCATTTCAGACCTCCCCCGTGGGAGAACCTTCCAAAACATCGCCCCCAGACCACCCCGGGCCCTCCAAGATAGCCTGGAAGAGACCCCCCCCGAAATGAGACCCCCCTCCCTTTATTGCGAAATCTGGTGTGACTAACAGCGACACAAGTGTCGAGGCGTTCAACGCTCCGCCAAGCCTCTTGGGCCCGTGAGGGCCCGCGAGGAGGGGCGACAATTAAGGGGGGGGGAGGGGTAGAATAAATAAAATGATGTCATGGAGCATGGGGGGGTAGGATATGGATTTCTTAGCGTGGGGCCCGCCCAGGGGTGGGATGGATCAACGTTGAGCCCCCGCTGAACCGTTGAGCTGGATGGCCCTCGTGTCTGGAACGCGTGATCACTGGGGGGCCCTCGTCGCCCTGCGAACTGGGGCCCACGGGCTACGAACGACCTACATGTTCAGAGTGGCTTCGCCAGACGCCCCGGGTCACGCGAGCCACGAGCAACCGATATCCTCAGAGTGGCTTCGCCGATTCCAACGCCCCGTCCGCGCGAGGGGGCGCGCGAGCCACGAGCAACCGAAATTCTCAGGATGGCTTCGCCAATCCGACGCCCCGTCGGCACGAGGGGACACGCGAACCACGAACAAGCATAATCCTCAGAGTGGCTTCGCCCATTCCGACGCCCCGTCCGCACGAGGGGACACGCGAGCCACGAGCAACCGATACTTTTTGAGTGGCTTCGCCAATCCGACGCCCAGTCGGCACGAGGGGACACGCGAGCCACGAACAACCGAAATCCTCAGAGTGGCTTCGCCCATTCCGACGCCCCGTCTGCGCGAGGGGACGCGCGAGCCACGAGCAACCGATACTTTCTGAGTGGCTTTGCCAATCCGACGCCCCGTCGGCACGAGGGGACACGCGAGCCACGAACAACCGCAATCATCAGAGTGGCTTCGCCCATTCCGACGCCCCGTCCGCACTAGGGAACACGAGAGCCACGCGCAACAGAAATTTGCAAAATGGCTTCGCCCATTCCGCCGACCCGCCCACCAGCCCTCTGGGCGTGAGTGGTTTAGAGAGCCCGCTCTGTTCTCAACCCCCTTCTTCCCCTTCGGGGAGGGGTTTACCCCTCCCCCTTCCCCCTCCCCCTGGGCCTGGAGAGGGCGCACCGCGGGTGGTTGGAAGGGTATTTTTTTCGACTCCTGGGAAGGCTAAAAAACGACATCCCTCACGAGGATTCTGGCCCCGACGGGGGGGGGGGGGCAGAAAAATTACACCCTCTTCTTTGAAGCCAGAATCATTGCTTTTACTACGGTTTTGGCCCCATTTTGGCATTCTGAGGGGGCAGCGCTAATTAAAGCTCCCTTCTTCTTTCAAACCAAACTCACTGATGTTACTAAGGTTTTGGCCCCATTTTGGCCTTCTGAGGGGGCAGCGCTAACTGAAGCCACCCTCTTCTTTGATCGATTTCCTCCAAAATGGCCCCAGAAGCGCCCAGGAGGCACCAAGAGGCCCCAAGATGGCCCCAAGAGGCCCCCGGGAGGCCCCCAATAGGATCCCAAACGGCCCAAATGAGGCCCCCCCCGAGGCACCCAAGACGCCGAAAAGCCCATCAGGACGACCCTCTACTCGCCTGGGCGTCGTTTCTGGACGGGCAGGAGGAGGGGCCCGAACGACTCGCACCAGGACGAGGGGCCCGAACAACTCACACCACGAGAAACCCGAGCGACTCACACCAGGACGAAGTGCCCGAACGACTCGCACCACGAAGAGCCCGAACGACTCGCACCAGGAAGAAGTGCCCGAACGACTCACACCAGGACGAGAAGCCCGAACGACTCAAACCACGAGGAGCGCTTTCTCTCTCTCCTCCTCCGCCTCGTCCTTCTCCCGCCCCCACCACAAGGAGGATGTGCAAGGAGGCGGGGGGAAGGAGGAACAGGGGAGATATGCGGGGGCAGGCGGAAACACGCCTGAAAAACGCGACTGTCGGCATGCTTCGCTAGAGTTGCTGATTTGAGGGGCTGGTGGGGATGCGCGAAGCGTGAAGAATTTTCAAGAAAGGCTTCGCCCATTCCGCCGACCCGCCTGCGCGAGGGGGCCAACTCACCGTCAGAGTGGATTCAACATCCCTCGCCCCTTACTCGGGTGCACATGCACCGCGACAAAACACACGCAACTGTTTTATGTTTGATTCGTAGTGACCGCGGCTTTGCTCACGAACTATGGTTGCAAGGGCCCCCGCTGGCGCACGCTGACATCAAGCAGTGTTTACCGCATAGTATTTCCAAGCCGAGCCTGGCACTTGCATTTTCAATTGAGATGAACAATATATTCGTGCGAAACAGACAAAGAAGTACATAACATGCGCACGCATATGCACACATGTATTACTGGCAGGCGATACATGCAATTGCGCTATAGGTATACGTGCATGTGTATGCATGGAGCGCGTATACATATATATGTATATATAGCTATATGTATGGCTGCGTATATGTGTATGTTTGTCTATATGTGTATATCTATATATGTATATGGACGTGTATAGACGTATGTGTGTTGATATTTAATATTATATATTTATATATACACGTGTATATATATATATGTTTAAAAATATGAATTATGCATGTCCGTATATATATATGCGTATATATACACATATATACATATACATATACATATATAATATGTTTTGTATATATATATACATATATGCATATGTGTGTATGTACATAATGCTTATGTACTGTGTATTGCGCGGCGTGAAATCTGATCCAACGTCTAAATTCTGATCCAAAGTATAAATTCTGATCCAGACTGGTTCGACAGCTCGGATCTGATCCGCGGGTTCGGATCTGATCCGCGAGGCGCCGATCAGAATAACTGATCCAAGCAACCCCAGGGGAACGGGCCCGCGCGCGAGGTTGGCGAGAGTGGCCAGCCCCGGCAGGGACGCCGTAATGGTACATGCACGCACGTAGTCCCTCGTGCCCCTTCGGTCCCACACACTGTTGTCCGCATCGTGTACCTGGCGCGCCCCGATGTTCACGATCAGTGAGCAGTACCTCGCAACCCTCTTCACATCCGTCAACCTTCGGAGGTTCGGCATAGCGCGGTAGACCATCTGGCCTTCCGGGCCATTTGAACGGTCTCCAAGGGTTCTTCGCGGGACACTGCATGGGGGCGCCGGGGAATATGAGCGATAGTTCCAATAAATCCCTCCCAAGATCTGCTTTCTTAGGCTCAAAATGCTTGGTCATCATGTCGGCAATATGTTCTTTAGTACCATCATATTTAGGCTCGACATGTGCAAATTGGCATGCTTCGCATATCCAATCCAAATGGATACGATGTGTTCGATGAAAATGACGAAATGCTGGTGTACGTCCCTTTTTGACAATCTTGATCACGGCCTGGTTGTCCTCCAGGACAATAAGGTGCACTTTCGGTAAGCTGCTCGTAGGAGCCGGCTCTGGGTGCACGTGTAGCAGAGTACCTTCGTGGGAAATCGTGCGCCTCTTGGGAGTCGCAAGCGTCTCCGACTGCAGCGGGAGCTGCCTCCGGCTAGGAGAAGATCCCCTTGCAGGGGGCGCCTTGCGAGGCGGTGTCTTACGCCGCGTCTTTTTGGCGGCCAGGGTTGGACATGCCGTCGTATCGACATGTCCCAAACAACCTAAGCAATTGGTTTTCTCCTTGCAGGTTCTGGCAACCTCCACCACGGCCCCCCAGAAGGAAAGCAATGGAAGTCCCTCAAGTCGCAGTGCAGAGAATTTAGAGCGACGATCTCGGACTCCGTGGAGGAGGGAGAGACGAACGTCTGTTTCTTGCACGCGGCATGGCCCATCGAGCGCCGCGAAGACGCCTGTGGTGGACTTAGAAGAAGAAACGCAGTCGGCAAAGGAGGCATCAGTGAAGAGCATGATGGGCAACTGGTCCGGAGCGTCACCGATCCATCCATGTAGACAATGTGTACGAGTCGTCTTGAGGAAGCAGATGAGCCGATGAAGGCGTTTGTCACACGTAGTGTTCCTCTTAGTGATCTCTCTGGCTAGCATGCACACGGGGTGCAGTAGATCAAACCGACAACATCGTGCCAGATAGAGAATCTTCATCAACGCGCTCGCCGCGTCCTGGCCGAAGATTCCCTCGTCAGAGTAGTCGGACTCGGCAAAGGAAGTGCCCTCGATACCAGG